CCCCAAAACCCCAAAACCCCAAAACCCCACGCAAATGATAGCCATACAATATAGAAATTTCAAACAGATAAATTAATTCAGCAATTAATAAATTAATATTACGAGACTTTCAATTCATCAATTACTGTTATTATTACCACTATTGATTACACTGTTAGAACTTCCATTATTATTAATAGGTTCTCCATTATTTAGCTATTGACTTTGAATTTAAATTAGTTACTATTATTGCTACTATATTTACTATTAAGACCCAGCATTCTATAATTCCTCCTATCCATCCCTCGCAACACTTTAATTGATCATTTCCATTTGCAGTTATTGTCTCCTCTATCTTATCGAGTGAAGCTATCTTTATAGTTAACTCAAGTATGATGTTTCTCTTTCTAAAGGAGGAGGGTTTCTCATCAGCATGCTTGAGTTAAAAATCGAAGGCTAAAATGCTAGTCTAATCTCATTCTGAGAATGCTCCTGCTGCATATTCACAAGATCCTCGTCCATTCGTCTGATCATTTCTCTTATCTCAGAGATTGACATCATTGAATACTCAGATGAGCTTTAGACTTGCTAGCTACTACTATTAGAATTTGCTTGTTGGTTTTGAAGCTAGAGGTTTTAGGGTAACTGCTAATGCTAACTTTGGCTCAAAGCACTTACTAAATTTATTCTGATTTGCATTTCGTTATTCTAGTTCATTAGCTCAGCAGACTGGTTGTTGATCTGGTTTAACTGTTGTGCGTTGTCCCTATTATTACTATTCTATTGATGATCCTCAACAGGTTGGAGTACTTCTTGTAAATCTTAGTTTAAAACTGGTACTGGTTCCTGATTATTTAAGGCCTAGTCTTGAATCAGGATGTTAGCATTTCCAACTGGTGCCACTCTTTGCCCTTCCTGGCCTTCAACTATTATTTCTAACTACTCCTCATTAGCCTAACCTTCTGGCTCTTCATCTTGATCCTCTGCAAATTCCTCATCAGCGTCAGCATCTTCGTCTTATTCTTATTCTCTAAAATTAATTGATTATTATGAAAATCTAAATGACTTACTCTTATTGTTACAATAAAAGTTAATTTTAAAATCTCTGCTGCTATTACTACCTGAACTATTAAAGCTGAGCCTCATTCTCTAAGACTTGCCCATACATTTAGTTTGTCCTTGGACACTAATAGTATCTGGGGATGTCGGCTCTAGCAGTATATATTCCTAATGGAGCTAATCTGCTTGAATTTGATACAATATATTCATCATACTTCTTGTGCCATCCCTAAAAACACTTAAAGAATACCTATTGCTTACTTCATAATGGATGAAATATATGGGTGGACGATCTGGGGTTTGTATCTTGAGTTGAATGAGTGCTACACACCAAATATACTAGGTGTCTCTGACATCAATTTTATCCCCTGCTTTGAGATCATAGCTAAGTACATGCTTATCTTTCCAAGCCTAATAGTTTTTCACCCGATCTCTAAATCTGTTATGATCCTCAATTTAATTATCAATCTTTTTGCAATGCATCATAGTCTTGACTGAATAATCAATCAATCGATTGGGTGTGATCTTGAACGATCTGATCTCCTATCTACACTCAGGACAGGTCTATAAAGTAGTTAATTGATGGCTTTAATCTTACCTTTCTTCTAATCAAGCACTCAGTGAGGCAAATGTTACAGAAAGTATGGCCACATGAAGCAACTCTGCAACCAATTATCACATCTAAGCAAATGGAACAATTCAAATGATCTAGGTTCTTAAATGCTCCGATCATTGCTACAATAATACATTATTCATTGTTAATACTTACATTTCTGCATCATCTAGAAATCTTTGACTTTTTATTCCATAAGCATGTGTTACTCATAAGTAAGTTCAGATAGCTTTGGCTAGTCTTAATCGTTTTAATCAATTAAGTTGGAATCATTTTAATTCAATTAGGTTTTCGATGTATTACTGGTGTCGATTATTGTAACTTGAGTCTCTTTGTTGAGTTCTAAGTCACTTCGCTCAAGCTGCCTCCTCATCGATTCTAAGTTTTATATCTAAATCATTTCTCCTGGCTTAATAATGCTTTTATCAAGCATCATCCCACTCTGGTCAATTTATTTTTTATTACTAGAGATTAATTCGGGATATTCTTATTTTCTTTTGGTTTTTTCTTCTCTTTTGTTTAGAATTTATTTATCTTTCAAGGAAACTTCTGAGAAGACAACAACATTTTTCTTAGTATTATTCTCATTTAAGGTTGAGCTTAATGGTTATAATACCTACTTACTACTGCTTATCAGTGACTTTTTCAGAATACTTTTAGGTTATTAGTTCAAGTTAGTTGTATTACTAGGATTACTAATAGTGGCCTTTATCAATTCACTTTTTGGTCTTTAGATTTAATGGTGATTTGATCTGCTTTCAATCGATGGATCAGTCAGCTACTTCTAATTATCTAATTTTTACCTCTTGACATACAAAAGAGCATCATCCTGCTATAGAATCTTTTCCATTTCCTCATCATCGATTTCCTGGTCAAAAGTTGCATATATCACTCTTTCTCTTGTTTAATTCCTGGCTTAAACCTCTGGTCTTTAGTAATTCTGATGATCATCTTCCTCATCTTAAAATCTATTAATGCCACTTTAATATTCAAGGAGTTTACCTTTACTGACATGGTGAATCTAAGATATCATCTTCGCTATCATCTGGACTAGCTTATTATGGTTTCTAAAGGAAACTGAATAATCTTTTCTATATATAAGTTTGGTTAAAGTCAGATTTTATAGGGATGGATAAATATTGGAATTTGTTCTTACAAGTGAGTTCATTTTTAAGTTCCAATTAATTATTTCTTTGATTTTAATTCTAGTATTACTATTTTTTAAATGAATTTTTATTTTCTTCTTTAGCTTTACTTGTATTTCCTGCTGGAGTTGATTAAATTAGCAAGAGAGTATATTGTCTCGCTAGACTGGCTATCAATTAAAGTTAATTATATTTCTGTTTCTTTAACAAATATTTGGCAATCTCTGCTTAAGGGGTTTTGGGGTTTTGGGG